GTGTCTATGCAAAATGTCAATCTGATCACCTTTTTTGAGAGCGGACACCTGAGCTTAAATCCAATGCATTATACTTGCAGTTGCATTAATTTAAGAGGGGAGAGAAAATGTTGATGGTTAGGCTAAAATGCAAATTCTCAGTTTTATTCATAAAGGTTTTATCAGACAGATTACACCTGTTGCCTTAAAATTAAACTCCTAGCTGAAATATCATTTTGAATTTTTGGACTATCAAATCTGTCATTACTGTCAATTATAGTGAAGCTGTGTCGCGGTTTGAAGAGCCCAGGGGCCAGGGGAGGTCAAATCTGCTTATTACTGTAATATAACACCACTGTTAGCATTATTAGAGTATTTGCTTCTGAATGATTGCTTAAACACACATCTGGATGGAGAATAGTGTAAATTTGCTGTACTAGTGAAACTAAAGTTGAAAACCAGCCAGAAGGGTGTGTGCTCTTGTAATTAACAAGGTGCAGTACAGGTACCAATGAAAGTTTGTTTATGTGCCAAATCTTCACGATGTTTGGTAAATACAAACTGTGATTCAGTTCCAGTATCTGTAGATTCCTGTTTCAACATACAGACATCATAGTCTTATTGAACCCACAGCAAAATGGGAAAATGAATGTATTTACCAAATTCAAAAAAAGCAGTTTTTGACTGTGAACTCCATTAGTTTCTATTTACGTACACATATAAAACAGAGTCACAACAACTGTATGGCTTTTCTTCTTACAGATGTTCCAAATTTATTAGCTCAATTGTCAACAGATTTGCTGTTGTTGCATATATATCCATAATTAACAGTGCTTATACAAATCAGTGGACAACAGAAAGCCAACTCGATAACAGCTGACCCCTTCCTAACAGTGTAGTGTGTTATAAATGGGTAAAGCTTAACAAGTTAAACAACAGAAACGCAATCAGACTTGGTTACACACAGTGTTAATTGGCAGCTTAATCCACATTTGGTGTTCTAGTGAGGACAGCACAGGATTAAATCATGCATTTGTGTTTATGGTAATGAACAAACATGTCACCCAGTCCCACAGTCTGACGCACTTATGTTCTTTAGCAGTTTATCAGTAACAACAGAACTCTGTGGTACAAATACAAGTAGTTAATTAACAGCATAGTTCGTTGTTTGTTGTAGGTTATTCTGCAAGTGTGTGAAAATTATGATGGAGTTTAGTTCCAGTTGGATGAGTTTAAACGTACTCAAGCTGCCACTGATGCTTTTTATCTCACTGATGCAGTGATTTTAAAATGGTGTACACGTGATCTGCTTACCCATTGTTTCTAGTAGTAGTTCAGACTTTTACTTTATTTGGTTTTCATTTATTTTTAGTTTGTGTAGTTTTAATTATGGTTTTAGTCAGGGGATCCATCGGGGCCTGTGTTTAAAGACACAGTGTTACCAGATCTCAGAAAAAAAAGTGTGACAAACAGTGTTTATGTGGGACAAAGTAGGACAGGATGATGCAGGGAGGCAGTCCAAGATATCTGAAAGCAACTTTTCTGGCTTTCTTGCTCTCTTGTAAATACAAGAAGAATAAAAGGAAACGTATGCTGCCCTTCTTACTAGCGCAAATTTAAGACGGTTGTGATACACAAATGCATACTGTGCCACCTCACACCATATTTTCTCCTGTGTGAAACTGAAAAATAAATTTAAAAAAAAGACATGTCAATTACTCAAACTGCTGCAAAGCTTGTTATGTTTTGGTAACTTGAACTGATGGGCTAAGCTTCAGTTGACTATAATAAACATGTGCTTGATCAAAGTCATACTTTAGAAAAGTGTGAACCAGTCAAAATGTGGGGCATTGTCTCAAGATGTGGGACAGGAGGACAAGGAATGAAATTGCAGTGCAGTCCCACATGCAGAGGGCATCTGGTCACCCTAGCTCTTACTTATTGTCTAGTTGAGAGTTCAAGAAGACTAGCCTAGTTTCATGCAAAGACTGAAAGTGAGAGAAACGATGTATGACCTGTGGCTGCTTCCAAAGGTCAAGCCCACAGACTGGCATGTTACATATTGTGTTGACTCAACCTTGCAAACATTTGTACCTAAATAACATGTGCTCTAATTCAGCTTTTTCAACCGTAACAAGTTAATCATGAATTAAATAAACTGAAATACTGAAATCGGTCATTTCATTTAGATTAAATCTCATTTAATTCAATTCAGTGAGTGGCTATGCTGCTAAGCTTAGCTAGCTCATTTTTTCAAAAGACTTAAAAAAAATTATTTATTACTTTTCTTCACCAATTTTACCAAGCCTAATAAACTCATAAACTATTTAAATACATTAAAGTATGTGATATATGAGGTAGCTTGTACTCATGAAACCATGAAATCCATTATAGAGACAGGCACCACAGCTAAGCTTGACTAGTTAACTTTAGCCTCCTAGCTTTTAGAAGGAGGAATTCATTTCCCTTGTAAGTTGTCCTGTGTCCTGCACACATTACTGAAGCTTAAAACTTGCACAAAACAAACTAAAAGTTCTTCTAGAATCAAGTCTGCTATCTTGTTTTGTTTTTGGGTGTTTGGCAGGGTGCCATATTTCTCTTATAAAATCTCTACTTAGCTGTAACTAGCTAACTAACTAGATACATGTTGTGTTTTTTTTTCTGTTTCATAGTTATTGTGATTTTTTTTTTTTTATTATTATTATTTTTTTTAGTTTGCTCATTTCCCCCAAAATTACACTCTAAAATATCTTTGTGGTGTGTGTGTGTG